TATATATATGTGTGTGTGTGTATGCGCACACAGATACACATGGTATAACATAGTGTGAGCAGCTGTTTTTAAAACAAAACATCAAGACAGATGTAAAAATACGTATGTCCCATAAGACAGCGCGCAAGGCAATTCGCCCTCGAAGTCCGACGCCTCCAAGCCCCCGCGGCAAAAAAAAAATCCGGTAGCCGCAAACCCCAAACATAAACTCCCAAAACATCCCAAACCCCCCCAAAAAAAAAAAATAAATAAAAAATGAACCTAAACGCTATACCCTAAGCCTAAGCTGCCCAAACTGCTAAACAGCCCTAAACCACCACAAACCTCAAAGAGCTGCTTCAGGCTCTCCAGGCCGATCTGGGCCGGGCGATTGCGCTGAAGCGGGCTTTGCAAGAATGGAGGGTTGCATAGTGCGCTATGAGGGTTCGGCTACTGCTACTACCTTTGCTACTACTACTACTACTACTACTACTACTACTACTACGACTACGACGAGAAGTACCAGCGGTACTGCTGATACGACTGGTACCTACCAGATCGCTCATAACTTATTAGGCAGTAAACTCAGTTTCTCTCATTTCTTAAGGTGCGGCTTCTGTGCAGATGCCACAGAGGTCCAGCAGCATCGGCCAAGCGCAAAGTTTTGGCTGCGCTGAACTGAGGCTCAGACAGTCGCTATTGATACAGGAATGAAATCGGACCAACTTAATATAGGGGCCTTACTAATTAGAATAGGGTTTTGGGCCATTACACTATAGTTATAATAAGGAACCTCCAATGTAATACTGGTAACTATTTAGGCCCCTACATTAGCACATGAGAGCGTTTCCTTCGGTCCCTATGTCAAAACGCTCATTAAATGTACGTCGCTGTAAATTGTAAACCCCTACTTCTGAGGGGGTTAAGGGCGACGCTAAGGGAACAAAATCTTGCATGCGCTGTACATGCCCTGAGTACGCTACAGATGTCGCCAGCTGCGGCGCCATCAACAAAAGATGCCGTTATGCACAGCCGGACTAGACGTATCCGCCGAGTCCGGTTTCGCCAACTGCTTCGATCATGGTGGCATTGACACTTTGGACGAAAGCGAACACATCTGGCATTCCCGGATCAGTGCTGTTTCCAGTGCAGGCTGTGTTCGTGCAGCACTTGTCACTTGTCTCCTCCAACTTTTTCAGGATGCGCTTTGCCGCCATCCTCTGGACGAAAGATCTCAGAGGATCCTTCTCAATGGCCGCCATCATCATCATCTGGGCCTTCTCACGAAGGTTCAGGTCATGCATCTCCCTGGGAGGACTTGTGTAGTAGCCTTCGATGTCTACAAAGGGTCCAAAGTGCCCACCACCATTCAGCATCATCGAGTAGCATGCCTTCAAGTGAGTCTCGCCACGCTCGGGGATGAAGAGGGTCTGATTGTGCTGTGACAGAGCGTTGATCATACGCGTCATCCTCTCTTGTTGGGCAGGGTCCTGAGAGAGGTCCTTGCTTTCGGCAGGGTCCTCCTCCACGTTGAAGAGGCACCCGTGAGCACAATCGCCTCGCCAGTAAGACTTGTCTCCAAGGTCTGGCTTCTTCTCCAAGACCCCGAAGTCGATAAAGTCGGGGCCCTGGCCACCCGTCATCGAGGAGATGGTGCTGCAGTTGGGATACAATGGGCCCGTGTGCCTCATGTATGGTTGCTTGCCTGTGATCAACTTGTAAGGGTATTCCAACATGGCGTTGCCAGAGATGAAGAGTGATTCGTTGGCCCAGGGCCCAGGCTCACCCTTCAAGGGTCTAAGGGTTGCGTTTAGGGTTTGGGTTTAGGGTTTGGGTTTAGGGCTTAGGGTTTAGGCTTAGGGCTTAGGGCTTAGGGGTTTCAGGGTTCCAGTTCCTTCAAGATGGCTTCCAGTTGACCCTTCTTGCCGTCCACTTTGCTCAGCTCGGTGAGGCCTTGTGCTTTCAGCCAGACGTTGGCCTTAGCCGCCTCAGCGTCCTCCGGGTCGACGCCTGCCAACTCGGAGAACATGGTGTACCAGTCGGCCAAGGAGACCACGCCCTGGTGCACCTTTCCGCGCCTCTCCTTGGGGATGTAGCCGCCGGACATGAACGTCGTGGTGCGCACGCCGCCCTCGAAGTCGGAATACTTCCCCCCTCGAAGCGGATAGTTGTTGGAGGAGCCAGGCTCATAGATGGGGCCCCCGTTGTCCGTGGTAAAGACCACCAAGGTGTTCTCCCACATGCCCTTCTCCTTCAAGGCCGTGGTCAGGTTCTTGATGGTATCGTCCATGTACTTCCTGGGCTCTTCTGGAAGGAGGCTGAAAGCAGCTTAACTAAAGCTACCATCATACGGAAACCCTATGATCTGCTATCGACCCCTAATTCTGGTAACCCTAAACCCTAAACCCTAAACCCTAAACCCTAAACCCTAAACCCTAAACCCTTAACCCTAAACCTTAAGTAGAGCACAGCTTCGTCATGGCCATGATCAGGCGCCGGTTCTCCGAATCGAAGGCGCGGCCCCCCTTTGAGACCACGCTCTCCTCGATCTGGTCGAAGTAGTACTTCGGCACCTTTAGGGTTTAGGGTTTAGGGTTTAGGGTTTAGGGTTTAGGGTTTAGGGTTTAGGGTTTAGGTTTGGTCTTTATTAGAGTTCTTTTATATATGGATCCTCATATTTTGGGGTTATAGGACCAGGGTTTCTTACTCTGGTACTTCGGCACCTGCAGGGGCGTGTGCAGCAGGTGAAATGCATGGAAGAGGAAGAGCGGATGCTCTTCATCAGATGCATCGTGGTTCTTGATGACCTGCAGGGAATAGTCCTCGAACATCTTTTCTTCGTAGCAGGCTGGCGTGCGCTCCTCACTGTGTTTGCAGGCATCGCTGAGCTCTGATCCAGTGTAGGGCCCACGGTAGGTGTCGTTCTCCACCATAATGTCATAGAATGCATTCAGACAGGTGGTGATCTCACCAGTGGCTTGGATCCCCGTCTTCTTGTTCCAATAGTCGTTGGCATGCTGGTAGTAGAGGAAGCTTGTGTTGAAGCCGCGGCCATAGGGCGTGTGCTGCGGCGTTGCCATACCCGCATCCCACTTGCCTGTAGTCTTCCCGTAGCATTATGGTTCGTTGTCGAGGTTTTCCATCCTGTGGGCCTTTTGGGTGTTTCAGTGCTAAGATTAGGCTGTGGGGATTTGGATTCCGTTTGCATGCAGCTGAAGGGCCTGTGTAGTGCGTGCGGTAGCCGCCCTCGCGCACCTTGGCACCCATGCCTGTCATGTTCCGGGGGATGCCAGCATAGCCGCTCACCGGATCCTCCTCGTTGCGCGCGGTCACTGCGACGTTCTTCACGAGAACGTGAGGTGCCAAGCGACCGGAAAGCAGCGAGGCTCGCGCTGGCCCACAGATACGGTAGGCATAATGACGATCCAAATTGATGCCATCCTTCACCAGTTGGTCGATGGTTGGTGTCTGGACCTCCAGCTGGCCCTGCTTCTCGTCCTCGGTGCTGGCGCTTTGCCGATGGAAGCCGGTGTTGGCCCAGCCCAAGTCATCTGCCAGAAGGAACAGAATGTGCGGCTTCTTCTTGCCCAGTGCAGCCGTGAGGCAAAGAGCTGCGATGATGTGACCCAAGCGCATTGCGACGCGAAAGGTGCTGACGAACTCTGCGCTAACTAAAATGCTAGCTTTAGCCCGAAGACACGAAGAATCGCAGGCTCCGTTCGGAAGCTTCGTTACTGCATCTGAGCGTTAACAGACGTAGGAGTGGCCGCAGTGACCATGTCTGCAACCAATACTCCTCCTCCTACTCATGCTGCTTCTCTTCCTCCTACTACGATGTCGTCATCTCACCTACTTGGAGGTTCATGGGTAGTTATAAGTGGAATTATAAGTCCCCTAATATGGGTTGTAAGTACAGTTTCCCTACTTATAACCCCACTTATAACTACCCATGAACCTCCAAGTATACCTCCACCATCACCTATGCCGCTGCCTCTCCTCCGCTCATTCCTTAAACGCTCGACCCTGAAATTGGACGGCAAAAACCGCTGCGACCGGCCAGCCAGAATGCCTTCTAAGAACCCAAAATGTGATGTATGTACAGACATACATACATATATATGTATAATATATATATATATATATATGCCAAAATCTATCTGTCTATCGATGGATCTATATATCCGTTTGTAATTCTTAAGTCTTAGGCCCCGAAACCCTGCACCCCTAAACCCTAAACCCTAAACCCGAAACCCTAAACCCTAAACCCCTTAACCCTAAACCCCTAAACACCTAAACCCCTAAACCCCTAAACCCTAAACCCCTAAACCCCTAAACCCC